CAGTGCCTACCTAAGCCTGAATGTGTCCCCTGGTGCCTGACTGTGTCTGCCTGCACCTGTCAGTGCCTACCTATGCCTGAATGTGTCTCCTGATGCCTGACTGTGTCTGCCTGTACCTGGCTGTGTCTGCCTGTGCCTGCCAGTGCCTACCTAAGCCTGAATGTGTCTCCTGATGCCTGACTGTGTCTCCTGGTACCTGGCTATGTCTGTCTGTACCTGGCTGTGTCTGCTTGTACCTAGCTATGTCTGCCTGTACCTGGCTGTGTCTGCCTGTGCCTGTCAGTGCCTACCTATGCCTGAATGTGTCTCCTGCTGCCTGCCTGCACCTGTACCAATGCCTGCCTGTGCTTGCAGTATCCTTCCTCAAAGACACAGGTTCAAATTCTTATTCCATAGAGTGGGGTGAGGGGGTGAGGGGCTCTGAGCTTCTCCAGGGTTAGCTCCCCCCTGCATCTCTCTCTGTGCCTTGGTGGGGACAGAGCTACAGCTCATCAGTGTGCGTGTGCTCATGTGTGTTTGAGACAATTTGTAGCCCAGGCTGTCTTCAAAGTCACCATCTTCCTGTCTTACCCTCTTCAGGGATGGGGTTGTAGGTGTGCGTGGCCGTAAGCAGCCAGGGTGGGGCCTCGGTGAGATGGCACACTGGGTGCTGGGAATGTAGCTCGGTCATAGAACACTCGCCTAGTGGGTGCCAGGCCCTGGATTCCAGATCCAGTCAGTGCCAGCAGCAAAAGGAGAAAACCGCGATCAGGCACCATTCCCTGGAGGTGGGACTCGGGAACGAGGGCTCATTCTTTCTGTTTCGTACCCGTGAATCCGTGTGCTAGATCACACCCATGTGCACTGCTATTCACAGACATCGTGTGTATTGTATATTAGGACACAAGCGTGCTCTGCTCTACTCAAAACGAGCACACCCATGTCCACGGACGCTGTTGTGATAGTGTATGTTTGTGTGCGCTGCTTTACCTGCCAATGCAGTGCTCCTGCATGCACCGCCTTAGTCATACATGTGTGCTTGCTGCTGTCCTTGTCCATCTGTGTGCTCGGATGTACAAGTTCACCCAGGTGCATTTGCTGTACTGCCACAAACGTGAGAGCTGCTATTTTAATACAGGCGTGGGCTCTGCTGTACCAGTCACACATGCTCTCTGTTGCGTATGCTGAACGTCTGTTTGTGCTGCAATAGTGCCCCTGTCGTGGAATCCCTGTCCCCATGGGCTTCACAGCCTTATTCTGGTCACCCAAAGTCTCACAGGAAGGAGACCGCTCCCAAGACAGGCGAGAGTGACTTCCCAGACCACAGCTCCCGAGTGCGTGTCTTCCCCATGCCTTCTCCTCCGTGGATGCCACTCCCGTCTCAAGAGACTTGTATGGGTCCTAGATTCTGGGAGAAGGTTGGCGCCGGGTATCCTACTTTAACCTCACATTTGCTGCAAGCTGATCCATCGTGACCTTCTGCGGTGCCAGTGGGCTCTGGTATTTCCAGCCTGTGTGACTGTATGGAGTGAAAGATTCAGGGAGCTGAGCATTGATGGTGCACGCCTTTAATCCCAGCACTCGGGTGGCAGAGGCAGGCGGATCTCTGAGTTCAAGGCCAGCCTGGTCACCAGAGCGAGTGCCAGGATAGGCTCCAAAGCTACACAGAGAAACCCTGTCTCAAAAAACCAAAAAATAAAAAAACCTGCCTCTGTGCCAGCTGCCTGCCTCTGACCACCAGGTGCGGATGCAGGTGTCACATAACACTGCCCGGCTCTTGCCAGAGATGATCTGGAGAGAAATGATCCAGCTTACAAGGAAGGCCTCAGTGTCCCCAGCTGACCTGGGAAGGGCAGCCAAGAGCCAACCACATCAGAGGAGGAAGCTGGTGCTCTCAGACGAGGAAATTCACTCCCCTGAGATGTGTCTTGGGTCCTTAGAAACCTTGACTGACAGCAAAGTAGACAGACAGCATGGGGCAAAGGCAGGGTCACAGTCATCTATGTGGGAGTTTCAGATGACAATGGCAGGGCAAACCAGCCTCATCACAGGGAGATGAGGGCTTGGAACTAAGATGAAGCCTGTCTTTTTAGGGGCAGAAGAAAGATAAACACGTTTTCTCATGAGGGTGCATGGTGAGGACTATGGATTACTAAGAAATGGCCTCCGAGTGGAACACGAGAGAGAGAGAGAGAGAGAGAGAGAGAGAGAGAGAG